TTTTATCATTTTCTTTGAAGTATCTTTTAATTTAAACACAGACCGATTTTTTTTAGAATCTTTGATGTTACACTTAAAACACTAATAATAGGTCTATATTTGCTAACATCAGTTTTATCTTTCTTTTTATAAAGTGGAGTCACTTTTGCTATTTTCTTATCCTCTGGAAAAGTAATCGTTAAGATAAATAGGTTCATTAAGTAACTTAGAGGCTTAAATAAAACCTTCGCATCATCTTTTATAAATTTAGCTGGAATCATGTCTATATATAACCCAGTACTTTTTGATACATTCAACTTACGTAACTCTTTGAAAATAAATTGTTCACTGATTGGTAATAATTCGAAGCTGTTTTTACGTACACCTTTTCTTTCGTAAAACTCACGAATACAATCATTGTCTGCGCTGAAAAGGTCTTTGGAAGGGGGGGGGGGGCCGGGGGTAGTTTGTTTACTAATTTGGCAGCCACATTTGTGAAATGAGAATTGAATTCATTAGCGTTGGCCATCTTTTCATGACATAATTCCCTATCAATTGTAATGACAGACTCTTGTTCTTTTCGTTTCTTATTTTGTAATCCTAAGCTTTTTAGATTCTGCCAAAGCCTTTTCTAATCTTGTTTATTTTCTTCTGTCTTTTTTTGTAAGTAATCGAGTTTAGCCTTTTTCACCTCTCTTTGGACCATATTTCTTAATACTCTGTATCTTTTAAAGTGCATCTCATCTTTTGCTCTTTTCCTCAAATAGTTCTTTACAAATGTTTCTTTCCTGGGAACCTAGTGACGAGCTATACCTTTAACCTGTAACAAATGCATACATTACGTGTGGATATGTCGGGAAAGCCTCGAGCAAGCTTTCAGTTTATCGAGAACAACCTTTGTTTAAAGAAGTATGCATAATATGAAAACAATGTTAGTAAACTAGTCTATTATATTAATTTCAAATTCAATTAATTAAGCAGACCTCTCCAGTTTTTCACATTCGGGTATGCTTAACTTTAGTAAACAAGAGTGTCAGACATCTTTCTGGTTCCTAAGATAGAAATAAATAATTACCAGCTGATTGCATTTAGGCAGAATAAAAACAGAATCGAGTATTGTTGCATTTCGAGAATGGACATTTTTCTTCTAAAAGGGCTAGCTCACATTCATAAGGGAAGAAAGGTTTTTCATTTGTAAAAATCATCTTATGAGCATCTAGCATTCCCTTTTTCTTCTTCAAGAGTTGTAAATATTTATTCGAGGACTAAACAATTCAGGTAGGTACGGTACTAGCACAGGCGGCGGAGCGACTTCCAAAGTGGGAGGGCACGAACAAAAATGGGCAATTTCTGGGGAAAAGGGCACCTTCAAAGAAAAATCTCAAAGCGAAAATATACAATTTTTTGACATTGGTATATACCCCTATATATTGTGATTACATTATCGGGGATGATTTCAATATTTGTTCCTCTTTATACATCATATAAAATATTGCTTAAGCATTGTACTTTGCAGTTGGATGTGATGGTCTGAAATTTCATTCGCGAGCAAACAAAGCGAGCGAGGAAAATTTTTAAGATTTGTGAAGTCACAGTGCGAAAAATTACATCTTATTAAGAGAAAAAACCCAGTCTTGACGGAGTTATAGGCACATTGACTGAAAAGTCCTTTGTTAAGTTACATAATTATAACATATATAACTACAAGCGAGCGAGCTTTGGGGGGGGGGGATCGCTCTTATTCGCTTGAAATTAGGGGCACATTTAATGATGGGAGGAAAAAGGGACACTTATCGAAAGGGTTATTAGCAAAGAAAAGGAGCATGTGTCAAAGTACAAAAGTTATTTATCAGAGGTGAAAATGGGGTACTTCTTGCACCTAAAAAAAGAGGCATGCACCAGGGATGAAAAGGAAACGGGCATTTGTCGACGGACAAAAGGCACCCATCAGATTTTGATAAGGGCTTTCATAAGAAGTGAAAAGGGGCAATTATGAAAAAGGGATAGATTCCTTATTAGAAAGGAATGAGGGGCTCATATCATTGTTAAAAGGGTAATTATCAGAGGTGAAAAGGGGCACTTGTCGCATCTGAAAGGGGCACTGACCATACATGAAAAGAGGCACTTATGAGAATGAAAAAGGGAAATGTGCATTTGTTGAAAGAAAAGGGGCACCGATCAGATTTTAATAGGGCCAATTATCAAAGATGAAACGGAATAATTATGAGATGGGGAAGGGGCACCTATAAGAAGGAAAAAGAGCATTTATTATGAAGGAAAAGGGGGACGCGTCAAAATAAAAGGGCATCTATAAGAGATGAAAAGTGCACTTATCAGGAGGGGAAGGGGCACTTGTCAAAGTAAAACGAGTATCTCTTAGAATTGAATAGGGTAATTTACAAGAGATGAAAAGGGGCACTAATGAGAATGAACAGGGGCATTTATGAGCAGGGAATGGGGCTCTTTTTTAATGGGGGCACTTATTATAAGGAAAGGGAAAGGAAAGGGGGCACATGTGAAAATATAACGTGCGCTTATCCAAGTTAAACAGAGATAGTCATTAAAAGGGGAAGGGGCACTTTCAGGAAAAGGGGAACTTGTCAAAGCAAACGTGGAACCTCTCAGATTTGAATAGGGCAATTATCAGATGTGAATGGGGCCAGGGGCGTCGCTAGCCCTTTTTTAGTGCGGGGGGGGGGGTGTAGAGGCCAACGATTACCGACAAAACTAGCCCTCAATTACCGACAAAATTAAATGTCCCAATATTTACAAATTTAACCCTATATACCCGGGGCCGAAGGCTAAATTGTTTTTCCTACGGACTATCTATAGTACTTGCGTATGCGCAAATGGTCATTTTCCTCGACGACATAAATATACGAATCATTTCGTCAACTTATTCAGCACCATAGCTATATATTTTAATACAGGCGCGAAGCTAGGATCTCATTTTAGGAAGGGGCGGTAGTGGGCAGGCGAAACACTTAAAGAGCGCGCGAAGCGCGCTCATTAGGGGTGTGTGGATGATAGGCCTACGGCGCGGCGCGAAGCGCGGAAGCTTAGACGTTTCCTTAAATAATTTGGAAAAGAAGACGATTTATTGTACCGTTCTCGACTGTTAATCTTTGTCTGAATGATGTTCCCCCCCCCCTCCCGCGCGAAAGCTTTGGCGTTTCATTATATTATTATAAAAAGAAGACGATTTGCTGTACCGTTCTCGACTGTTAATCCTTGTCGGAATTCAGTTCCACCCCCCCCCCCCCCCCCTCCCGCGCGGAAGTTCTGGCGTTTCATTAAATTATTAGAGAAAGAAGACGATTCGTTGAACCGTGCTCGACTTTTAATACTTGTATGAATTCAGTTTCTCCCTCTCTCTCTCCCGCGCGAAGCGCGGAACCTTTGACATTTCATTAAATTATTAGAGAAAGTAAACCATTCGTTAAACCGTGCTCGACTCTTAATCTTTGTCTGAATTCGGTTTACCCCTCCCGCACAAAGCGCAGAAGTTTTGACGTTTCATTAAATTATTAGAGAAAGTAGACGATTCGTTGCACCGTTTTCGACTGTTATTAAGCCCTATTTATCCGAATTCAATTTCCCCTCTCACGCGAAGCGCGGAAGCTTTGACGTTTCCTTAAATTATTAGAGAGAGCAGACGATTCGTTGTACCGTTTTCGACTCTTAATAAGCCCCATTTATCTGAATTCATTTTTCACCTCTCGCGTGAAGCGCGGAAGCCTTGATGTGTCCTTAAATTATTAGAGAAAGCAGACGATTCGTTGTACCGTTTGCGACTCTTCTAAGTGAAGTTTTCCCCTTCCGCGCGAAGCGCGGAATTTTTGGCGTTTCATCAACATAATAGAGAAAGGAAGACGATTCGTCGTACCGTTGTTGACTCTTAATCCTTGTTTGAATTTAGTTTCCCCGAAAATTTTAAGCCTCTGATTTCTTTAGCTGATATTATAGGAAAGTGAAACTTCGAGAAAATACGAAGTCGTCACAGCGGATAAAAAATCACAGTTCGTAGGGGAAAAAACTTGTCGGCCGACCGAAGTTATACATCTCACCGAATTCAAACTTCTGCATATAGTACCCGAGGATCGAGCAAGAATACCTACACAGCTGACCCGACACATTTACCCGTGTCTTTCTTGCTCCCTCGACGAGACGACTCCACCCAACAACCCCCTCTTTCTTTTACTCCTACTCCTTTTATCTGAGGCTCTGAGCTCCCCTCTCTCTTCTCTTTTTCACCCCCCCGTTTCTTTTGTTTCCCTTTTCTCTTTTTTCTTCTTTTTTTCCTTTTATTTTCTTTTCTTTCTTTTCCTTTCTTTCCTCTCCTCCCTCTTTTTTTCTTTCTGTTCTTTCTTCTCTTTTCTTTCCTTTCTTTTCCTTTCTTTCCTTTCTTTTTCTTTCTTTCTTTTCTTTTCCTTTTCTTTTTTTCTTCTATTACCCTTTCCCTCCCTTTTATCCCTCCCCCTTTTCTCTTTTTTCCCGACGACAGCGCAATTTTACCGACAATATCCTGACAGGTGGGGGTGTCGCACCCCCACCCCCCTTTGGCAACGCTCCTGAATGGGGCGCTTATCAAAAGTGAAAAGGGGCGCTTCTGGTACCTGAAAAGGGGAACTCGGCTAGAGATTAAAAAGGCACTTATGAGAATGGAAAATGGACACTTATTGCAAAGGAAAATGGTTACTTGTCAAAGGAAAAGGGGCACTTTTAAAAATTAATAGGGGCATTTGTCAAAGTAAAAGGGGCACTTTTCCTATGTAAAAAGGGGCACTTCTTACAAAGTTAAAGGGGCACTTTTCCTATGCAAAAAGGGACACTTTTAGGGTACTTGAAAAAGTGGGAGGGCAATGTGACCCCCCTGCCCCCCCCCCCCCCCCCCCCCCCCCCCCCCGGAGCGCCGCCTCTGGACCGTACTAGACCATATTAAAAAAGACATTAAGCAAACAAACTCAATGTACGGAAATTAGGACCGGGGGTATTTTTATTTTTTAATTAAACGCCCTCAACGTTATTTGTGAGTTTAGTGTTACAGCCAACAGGTGCGAAATAAAAAACAACATTTTGTTTGGTAAGTCTGTAAAAAGCAAGATAAACCGGAGTTTTCATCGTTGATAAACAAACTATAAAGAGGCAAAATGGCAAGGTTTACAATTAAATCAACTTCAATTCTCTTATTTAAGTGCTGTTTCTGTATAGCGTTAATAGGTTAAGTGATGTACGTGCTTTGCAGACGACTCGATCGTTTTACCCCTTGTGTGTTTGAATCGCTCCCGGACTTTCGGGTGTGTTCTGTGTGGGAACCTTGGTCTGAGAGAACGTCACGCGTATGCGTGCAAGTATATCTAATACTAATAATGTACTAGTATTACTATTAAGGGCCGGGCTGATAATATATGTTTCAATGTTTATTTTCTGAAATTAAGTTAGGATCATGTGAAAATGATCTCTCAGTCTCAGTTTGAACATACCACCAAATTAGCGTATTGAATAACCGTCCAGTATGGGACATTATTCAAACCAACACTTGTCGATCTTTCCCATACAACAAGGGCCGAGGGTCAATGCTAATGCGTATTGACGTCTAGCACTGCACTGCACTGCACCCTGTGTTAATAGGCAGCATTTGCACAGATGAATAGTCGATATACTTATTATACACAAATGTACACAATCATGTTGATGTGGCTGATCGGCAAGTTTGACAGTAGACTTACAATTGAATTTTTAAATTATTCTTTCTAACATTGGTAAGTTGAAAAAATTGTATTTTACTGCTGTTTAGGTGTCATCAATTGTCATTAAAGTACCGATTTTGAGTGAAATTAGTTGAGTTTTGTAGAGTGGTGTTTGAAATGTTGAAAATCAATAGCACAGCTTTAATACAGAGCCAGGATAGTAATGCAGCTATATGTGGGGCGAGGCCAAGTGCTGAAGGGTGTGGGGGGGGGGGGGGGGATTAATTAGCTAATTTTCACCAGAATTGCGGGGAAAGTTTGCACTCGGTTTGTCTTTATCTAGACCTACACATGTACAAGTTTGATCAGAATCCTGTGATATAATATATACTTTTGTATTCTCAAAATATTTTCTAAATGCTAGTTAAAAGATCTAATTTCAAAACTCTCTCTATCTAGACTAGTAGTACCCTGATGTGCATGTGCAAAATAAAGACACTAACTTCCGATCAATCAGAGATTGAAGAACCTAACCAACCCTGAAGAAGTGACGGAGGATCACAGGATTAACCTCTCAGTTCATCACAATGATGATAATGACAATGATGTGGCTATTTAATTGAAAGCCACACACATATATGGCAATATGGTACATTATTACCATCTTCTAGTACTGGTTACTTTTTTTCTTCCTGCAGACATAAGCAAACATGGCCAACAGGAAAGTTCATCGTCTTGGTCTTGATGAGGACATTGTGACAAGACTTACTCGCCATAAAATATTAACATGCCAGGTATGTTCTGTGGCTCCCTCTTATTGAAGTCTTACTGGGCTTCATTTAGAATGTTGATATTATTCCAGTGGGTAGCATGTATGTGCTATTTACAGTCGGCACAAGTTTATTGTACAAAGCACATACTTATTCTATTGGAGAAGGAATGCTCTATTCTTATTAGTTTAAAACAAGTCACACATTCACAAAGGTTTGTTAAATTCCAGTTTGGACTGCCGAAAAGATAACCTCATCAAGTAAAGAGGGGCCTTGATTTCTTGAGGTCTTCCCAAATGATCATCATAAGAAGTAAAAACCTCTGAATGTTGGCCCACTTGAAATTGGGTTTGGATCTTGTATAAAATGTACCCACTGCAGGGTAGTGAAATGTAGTGGCACAGAGAGATGCATTGGAACGTGAAATGGAAGACTATAATTTTAATGCGTAGAGGTAGAATTGTATCATTAGAGCATAAAGCTGGCAGAATATTGTCTCTATGTCATTGATAACGATGAACAAAATTGAACCTTGTCATGTCAAATAACAACTACAATTCACTGACAAGCTTTCCAGATTCGTCTTTGTGCCGCTACATCTTTCTTAGCTGCCTTTGTGAACAGAATGCATGACAGTAAGTGTACATGGTTCTGTGACACACACTCCACTCAAACTTGCTCTGTGTACAATTTCAAACACTATCCCCATTTCTAACTTCAACCTTGATCCAATGCTATACTTAGCCATAACCTTAATCCAAACCCTAACCTAAAACTTAATTGCAACCTTAACCCTAACCAAATATTTTTGACAAAATGTGTTGGATCATCATTTAAATTCCTTGAATTTGAATGCAATCACTGCCCTCCACCAGATAAATTGATCCATCTATTCTTGAATGATGTGTAGGATTTGCTGACGAAAAACCGCTTGGAGCTGCTGAGGATATTCAACACTTGTGAACCCAGGATCAGAGAAGCTATCATGAAAGCAAGCAGAGCATGTGCTCCTACAAGTACAAAGGTGAGACATACATGTAAACCAAAACAACAAAAACAAAGCAAAACAAAACATAATCAAACAAAATAGTTGAATACATATAAGTAAGTAAATAAACTATATGTATATTAAACCAGGTACATTAAGTTGATATAAAATCAACTAAAAAAAAAGTACCCAGCATTCTATTGTTTAATGGTTAAGAAATTAAGGAAAACTAAAAAGGGCACATATGTTTACTTAACCCAAGTGGGGCGTGAGTTCCATTTGCACCCTACTCTAAACACATAATAACTTGTTGAAATCACACCTGTTCCGTAGGAAGAGCTCAGATGATGGGTGGAACGAAATTGTCATATTGTAGAAAAGTTTCGTTGTGATATATTTAAAGTGGCCAAAACAATGCCCACATTTATTTTAATGGGATTATATTTATTTTCTCATCTAACATTGATACTAGATGCACCTAATTTTTGTCTTTACATTCACATTTTCTTCACATTTTGTTCTTTATATGTTGCTTGTTAGGTTTTATTTTTTATTTTTTAAATATTATATATTTCACTTATTCTTCACCTATTCAGGCACTACAGCTATGTGAAAGAAATACTGGTTCATGTCCAGGTTTCCTTCCAACCTCTCTGACAACACTAGACCAACTCTTACAAGGTGGATTATTATCAGGAACAATAACTGAGGTAAGGTGAAAGAGGTACCGGTTCATGTGCTCTACAAATCCATCCACAACTTAATTACTGTTAATACTGACTACTACCAAAACAGATCATCTGGATTAGGGGTATCTACAAGAATACGCTCTTCAGTATCATTCAAGAAGTTATCTGCTGTAAAGGACTGTTATAAACACTCCCTATATCCTAGGACATTCCCCGAATGGAACTTTCTCCCGACCCATGTTAGAAATGCCCCCACCCTTGCCTTGGAGCCTTTAAAGATAACTTACAAAAGCTCAACAAAATGTTTAAGAAAGGGAAAAATAGAAGTTTGGGAGTCCAGCTGTAAATGGAGATACAAAGCTGTAAAGCTTTTTTATTTGATCTGCAAAACAGATAAAATATCAATGACAGATTTAGTACATCATTCAAGTTGTACAAGATACAATACAAAATATCTGAATAAACCAAGTGACTGTTTCTATAAAGATTTCTCTTTTGTACTATAACCTGTCAATCTTGACTTCATCCTTTAAGTATACAAAATTTAGAGTAACCAATGGCTACAAAATCTTTTGCATTTCTTAATATGCACTTCTGTGATAAACTCATATTTTCAGAATTTCTCAAACTGACTTAACTTTCCTTTAAACAGATTACTGCCAATTTGCATAAAAAAATAACTGTAAACATATCTATCTTGCATCCATACACAAGCTTGATTAATTTGTGCTAAATTGTGCTCATTATTGGATTGTCACTTTAAATATATTGTATGACCTTTCACTGACTTTGACAGGCACTTATTTTGCATATTTCTGCTCGGCTATAAAAAACTGTCTTATAAAATGTCTTCATTCAATTAAACACTGTTTAATAAATTAAACTGAAATATCTGACTTGCTATATAGCTATGCAACCAAGAATTGTTTCCAGTAATAATCTAGAGATTACACTTTATTACAAAATCAACTATCTGGCATTACCTGTAATTTACACCTGTAATTCACACCTGTAATTTACACCTGTAATTCACACCTGTAATGTACACCTGTAATTTACACCTGCACTACAGTAAGCCTTTTGAGTTCCATAATTAACTCTTTAAATGAATAAACTCATTCTTTCAATTCTTACTCAAAATGCCATGTCAGAGGTGCAAAGCTTTACCTTTTAGGTCAATAAATAGTGTCTTGCAAGCTAAATCAAATTCTGCAGACCAACTTTTGTCACCCAAACATGCTGCATAAAATCCAAGATTTTAGTATGCACAATAATCATCCTCGAAACACTTAACATAGGCAAAATAATTGCTAGACCCCACTTTAGAAATTAAGTATACTCTGCTCAGTTGACTGCGCCTGCATGTTACATCCCAGCTGAGGAGTTTATGCAGTAGCCCAACAGAACCAGAACCAGATAATAATAATCTGGATGTATAGAACGCTTAATACGGATTACCGTTTCTAAGCCCTTTACAGATATTATTACCCTGATCATTGGATTCATTCATGCGCAATGTGCACCATCTCTACTCCCTGGGGAGTATTCCTTTCATATGGTCACTAGAGGGCATTTGGCAATTACCAAAACAAATGCTTTTGTCATCCTACCCGGTCCCCAGTTCTCTCCTGGGTATGGAGTGGCAAATGTAGATTAATGCCTTGCCAAAGGACATTAGTGCCGAGTCGGGGATCGAACCACAACCTTTGCATTTCAGGTCAAGTGCTTAAACCACTCGACTTGGACACCTCTACTCCATTAGACCAACTATTACATGTTGGTTTGGAATTGGGTGTGGGATGACAGTCATGTTTATTTGATTACATAATTACAAATGCTGGCTGATACTAAGAATACTTTGGCTACTTCGGTAATGGTATTTTTAATAGCTTTTGTCACTCTTTGTGATTTGATTGATTGATTGATTGATTGATTTACCAACAGTTATACATTCCATACATTTTATACAATAATTACATATAGCTTTAGCTCTACTTATCATTAAGTACACAGTAGGCAAGTGTGCGCTTGTAAAATGGCGACTGGCCCGAATGCTTCCCAGGGAGTGGATAATGTGCATACATTGTGTGCGGTTAAGCCTGAATCTGATGACAGGGGTAATAATATATCTGTAAAGTGCTACCCGGTAGACACATCGTTGATGTATTGGGTGGTATACAAAAGCAGAATATTATTATTATTATCTAACGTCCCATAAGTTGAGTTCATGTTTAAGACCCCAAATGCTTTCGAAGTGCATTCTTCTTGCTGTTATTCTCATTTATGACATTACTAGAGCTCATTTAGAACCTTAAACTGCTATTAAGGTAATTTTAGACCCCAAAATGTGTGAATTTAAATTAAATACGATCAAACCAATTTAGCTCCTTTCACAAAATATGTTGACCGTTAATAATTAATTAATTAATAATAACAATACACAGGCTGACGGGTTGTGCGTATTATAACCAACACGAAAAAGCCAACAAAAAGCCAAATATTGGCATTGGCTGGAATAAAACGTATAAGGCGCTATTTTATTTTTCAACGGCTGGTTAAAAAATACTGAATATTTGTGATGCCCAACAAATATTAAAAATGGTTATATTTATGGATATTTCAGCCATCTATGAACCGATTTTTATCAAACAAAGATGATTTTGTCATTTAGATTGTATATTCTTTCGAATTTGATACTCAGTTCTTCATTATCTCACAACAAATTATTTTGTGTAGCGCCCTCTGCAACAAAACTCAACTATCCCTTTAATATCAAACATGCTCTTTTCAACAGTCTTGCTCTACATATAAAACACAACTTCTAGTAATCATATGGTTAAATATATGTGTGGAATTCTTTCTCATGGCATCACAGATATGTTATAGGAATATATTTGTATTCTTTCCTTTCAGTACATGCAACTCACTTTGGATGTGAATTATTGCAAGAAAATATGAAAATGCTACCTGTGTACATGCTCCTACTAACCTGATCAGATGTGATTTCTTTGTGTTTCTTCAGATAGCTGGCCCCCCTGGGTGTGGGAAGACACAATTCTGTATGATGCTGAGCGTCTTAGCTACTCTACCAGTTGGTATGGGAGGACTGAATGGAAGTGTGATGTATCTAGATACAGAATCAGCTTTCAGTGCAGAAAGGTGAGTTGATTACTTCTTGATTTTGCATAAAAACACTATCTCCATCATCATCATCATCATGAGCATCATTGTCAAAGTCATCATCGTCATCATCATCATTGTCGTCAACCATCATCATCAATCATCACCATCATTATATACACTACTACCATCATCATCACCATCATTATATACACTACCACCATCATCATCACCATCATCATATACACTACCACCATGATCATCATCATATACACTACTACCATCATCATCACCATCATCATATACACTACCACCATCATCATCACCATCATCATATACACTACCACCATCATCATCACCATCATCATATACACTACCACCATCATCATATACACTACCACCATCATCATCACCATCATCATATACACTACCACCATCATCATATACACTACCACCATCATCATCACCATCATCATATACACTACCACCATCATCATCACCATCATCATATACACTACCACCATCATCATATACACTACCACCATCATCATCACCATCATCATATACACTACCACCATCATCATCACCATCATCATATACACTACCACCATCATCGTCACCATCGTTGATCATCATCAGCATCACCATCGTCAACTATCATCATTATCATCATCACCATCATAACGATCATTACCCTCATTGTCATCACCTTAATCTCAGTATGTACATCAACCTGATTTCTGTACCTGTCAGCTCAATGTTAATTTTCTGTCATTGAACATCTTTGCAATCTTCCTCAAGATAATTAACAAGCTTAGATTGTCTTTTGATGTGATAACAAACAAGGATCAGTTGGTAGACAAGGGGTTAAGGTGTATACCCTGGTATTAATCCAGGGGCTCAAGAATGAGTGAATGATTCATCAGATTAACCCAGTAGCTCTCATATCTTCCCCAGCATGCATGTATCTCACTTCCCTGTCCCTGCCTAGCCGGGGATGGGAGGGTTAACAGTGACAGAGCGTGTTGCCAATGGTAGATGAGGGGGAGAGAGAGAATCTTTGAGATTCCTTGGATAGTCATCCCACTGTGATACTGATGTACATCCCAGATACACAACCACATTCAATCTCTACTAAAATCTCTAAACATCTTTGCCATATGTATTAGTCACTCGTATGTCACTGATTAATTAATTGTGTGTAGTAGAATTTACTTTGATTCAAATCTAATTGATTTCTTCTTCTATTATTTATTATACAGAATTTGCAAAGTGCTGGATAATACAGAATATGAAGCATTATTATCATCATCATAGATCCTTTTGTTTATAATATAGTTATAGGGTGCCTATAATTATTTGACTAGAAGTACTAGATACATATTAAATATTTCTATGATAGCTTTTTATTTTGTTTCATCATGAAATAACAATCACAGAAGATGTATGTGGGATGAGAAAGTGTTTGCATGTCATATGGAAATGAAGCTTGGCATCTGCGATACTAGGAGTATGCCCCTCCCATACAAAAATAAGAAAAGAATAAATATAAATGGTATCATATGTATGTTTGTATTAACCCTTTCAGAACACAATTTTTAAAATTTTATAGCAAAATTGATCACATAATGTTCTTCAAGTTGGTGACAATATTTTTTTCTTTTAATGCTTTTTTATTCTAATGAATTGCAGTATCTCTGAAAACAATATACATGGGTAAAGATTTGATTGAAAAGTTGAAAATTGCCAGTTTTGATCAAAAACAGGGATATGGAACCTCTCAATGTATTGCCAAATTAAGGATTTTAAAGCTTATTCTCCTTTTTGAAATTCCTGGTGTAAAACGCAATGTGTGGTCATATAACAATAATGGACACAATATGTGCAGAAAATTTTGGCCTTTCTTTTCATGCATTGGGTATACTCTTATTCCGCTGTCGTGTTAATGCGCTATCTCAAGAACCACTTGAGGTATGAGCTTCAAACTCAGTGATAGTAGGTATCACCATAAAAAGATGATCTGGGTTCATATTGGGGAAGTAGATCAAAGGTCAAAGGTTATAGAGTTCAATTGTGAAATTACAGGTGTTTAGCTTCTTTAACGCAATATCTCAAGAACCACTAAAGGTATGAGCTTCAAACCTAGTTTACGGCTCTGAATCCAAAGTTACATAGCTAAACCACAAAAATAATTATCTCCAAAGCATTATTAAGGGATAGTTTAGTTTACACAAAATAATTTTTTGTGAGATAATGAAAAACTGAGTGTCAAATTAAAAAGAGCATACTATTTACATGTACATAACAAAATTATCTTTGTTTGATCAAAATCGGTTCAGAGACGGCTGAAATATCCATAAATATAACCATTGAAAAAACGAAATAGCGCCTTATACGTTTAATTTTAGCCAATGCCAATGCTGGCTTTTTGCTAGCTTTTTCGTGTTGGTCATAAAAGGCACAACCAGCCAGCCTGTGTATTGTTATTATTAATTAATTGATTTATCAATGGTCACCATAGTTTTTTTGAAAATGAAGCTGAATTGGTATGATCGGATTTAATCTATATTTCACACATTTTGGGGTCTATAATTTCCTTTTTTTAGTACTAGAAATGTTATAGATAAAAATAAGAGCAATAACCATGCCCTTTGAAGGCATTTGCGGTGTTAAACAAGAACTCAACTGTCCCTTTCAAGCTTGGTAGCACAGTTAAGGGATATTGTCTTCCTTTGACTTGACTTTGATTATATCAATATATGTATTTGTTGTGCTTTTTGTTAGGATGGTTGAGATGGCCCAGTGTCGTTTTCCAGACTATTTCTTGTCAGAAGAGGCCTTGATGAACCTAGTGGAGAAGGTGCACATATCTGTGGAATCGACATGCTCAGACCTATTACAGAGGTGATCATTAATTTAGATTGCACATGAACTATACCCATGACACTGAAGTTTGAACTTTTAAGGTATTTTTGTTTTAGGATATTGGAAACAGATGACGAAGACAAAACAACAGTATCATTCATCAAACAATATGTAATTGAAATTATGTTTATCAGTAACTGTTATAAACTGCTTTTTTTGTAGTTCTGTAATGAGGTAAAGGCAAAATGAACATGTTACGAGAAGATATAATAAAGGAAGATATCAGAGTGATTTACGTATGTTGAATACAAAACCATATTTATTTACTCTTGCTTTTGTTTATAATTTACTTTCTCCTGATGTTTAAAAAAATCTCCATATAGGTTAGAAACAGTAGAAGAAGATCTAATAGAGAAGGGAATACGTCTAGTGATCTTAGATTCTGTGGCTTCACCAGTCAGGAAAGAATTTGATGGAAGACTTGGCCGAAACATGGTGGAGAGGACAAACTTATTATCCAAACAAGCAGCCATTTTGAAGTACCTAGCAGAGGAGTTCTCAATACCAGTAAGTCCACACTTTTCTTTTGTTCCACAATCAAAGACTATGGAGATGAAAAGTTGCTGAGAATTTGAATTTTGATAAAAATTTGCCACATGATTATTATTAATATTTTTTTTTAGATACTGTCCAAGTCTCTTGTTTTTCTTTCATAGTTTAATCAATTTTTCTCTTCACTTTTTCAACTATGGTAAGTAGATTACTATTAACTCTATTGATGGTAGCATTTCTTACCTTGACATTAGTATTAAGAAGGAAGTAGGAATAGGAACTTTTTTTGTGTTGTGTGCAAACGTAGGAGTACCAGATGAATTTGTTGCTAGAGTAGGTTTCTTGGAAATGCTATTTAAGTAATCTGTTTATTCAAGTAGTCACTTTGTGGGACACACTGTAGGATGTCAATGACCTCACTCCTATGATACTGTGTTTAGGGATATCTGTCTTCCTGACCTTTTTAGCAACTCCTTTTTCAATCGTATATCATTAGATAAAAGTTATTATTTCCCATTATGCCAGTAGCAAAATGGGATTATGATAGCAAATGTAAAGATGATTTATCTTCAATATATAATTATATCAATCTTTTGGTTCAAAATTGATATTAGCTCACAACTCAATTTTGTTTTACAGTGTAAGTGAGAGATACAGTAAGACTGGATGTAATTTTTCAGTCTTATTTGAATTGTCTTAGTGGGAAAATCAAATTAGGTCATTGTTCATTTTAGTAGATTTAGGAAGGTGGATGTCAACTGCAATGATAAGAGTAATAATGATGATGATGATGATGGTTGAATGATAATGAGGATATTGATGATGATGATGATGATGATGATGATGGAAATGATGGTGATAATAGTATTGATGGTGGTGATGATGATGGTCATCAACATCATCAGTATGATGGTGGGTCTGATTATGAGGATATTGATGATGACAATGATGATGATAGTGATGCGAATCATGTTAAACCATAGTATAGTATGCACTGTCATCACTTAATTAAGTTGGTCTAGACATTAAACTAATATATTATCACATTGGTTGCCAACAAGAAGAAAATTTGAATTTTAAGAATTTTTCAAGTTCCAACACAGAATTGCCTCATCATGCATTTAGTGTTTACAATCAATTTCTTCATAGGGAATGTTGTTATTTAATGATGGATATTGATCCAGATGGGAAGTGGCTATGGTCTTACAATGTACTTTGATTAGTTGAAAAGATTTGGCATTAATTTTTTGATCACACATCTATGAAAAACACTGTTTCCCTTTATTTACAACAAATATGTACTCCAGCATTGATTCCTTCACGCAGCATGCCTTCATCTTGATGTTGATAGAGCATCCGATTGAAAGAAAGAAGAAGTTGGAAGGATGAGTGAGCCATCTTGGTGCATGTCCACATTTTTGACCCAGTTGCAATGTGTTGACCAGATGTGGAATGCTTGATGATGTTGTCTATGTGCCTCATCGAGAATGCATAGTTTTGAAGTGTATCAACACTGTCTAGTTTAAATAGGATTTTCATCTATATTTTGTCAATGTCATTACCTATGCATCCATCTTCCGAGATATTCAGATATTCCCCAAATTGCTGAGGAACTCGTGATATTGCCATTTGTTACCTTTTGATGTGTTAAGATTACATTTGAGAGTATTATTTAAGATGTGGAATATAGAAAATTTGTTAAAGGTGCCATTACTTTTGAATTTTGAATATTTAAACGTATAGATAAAGAGAGATAGATACATGTAGATAAAGAGATAGAGATAGAGAGAGAGAGAGAACAAAACGTTCAGACAAGTAGACAAACAGGCAGATGTAAAGAAGAACAGATACAAAGACAGTCAGACAGATATGAATCAAATAAAAGTCAAATAAACATACAGATACTATACACTGTCAGACAGACTGAGAGACATGCAGGCCAACTGGAAAAAACATTAAAATAGACATACAGCTAGAGAAACAGACAGACAGACAGACAAACACGCAGACATAAATAAAGACAGATATACAATCAGACACAAAGATGGATAGACAGATAGAAAGACTGATGGAATGAATTAGTAGGCAGACATACATAGACATTGACATACAGTTAAAAATACATACAGTCAAACATACAGACATACACAAAAACAGACACACATACAGACATGCAGACATACACATGAACAGCCAGCCAGACAGACAGATAGATAGAATAACTGATAAATATGCATGTAGACATAGAGAGTAGCGATGGACTCCTGATCAATTTCCCATTAGCCTAGGGACGCATAACCTGAACATCCCATCACAATGCACCTGCATCTAAATGTTGTGTATGCTCTTCCAAGTCATGGCATGTACAGATTGGCAAATTTCCTTCTAACTTTGACATTTCAGAGGCTAGGAATGACTTAACATAAGGGAAGCAAGATAAAAATGATATACTATAACCAGACTAGATTCTCCTTTATTGTGTTAAACTGAGTCATGACAATATTTTATGCTGAATACGATATTGTCAAAATCACCATTCAGTATTCACAATTCAGTGTTTCTTATTTGGAAAAGATGTAATTAAAAAAAGAAAAGGAAATTAATATTGAAATAATTCAAATGTTATTGGAAAAAATAATCTGCCTTTTGTGTATTTACCTTGAACAATGTACATATATTCAGCAGACATTTGATTGAATACAAGTATAAATTGTGTTTTTCTACCTTTATTTATGCTGTTCAACCACGCCTAAACTATAGCATGTTTGCACTACACTTTTGTAATTGAAACGAATGCTCTAAATTGCAAAATAATTTATTTTACTTTTACTATATCATGTTGGTCAAAACATACTAAAATTACTCCTGACAAACTTTAATAAATGAGATATGAACACAAGAAAGTGAAAATATTTGTTTCTGTCGCTGATCTTACTTGTATAATATTCAGTCAACAATTACAAATACCAAACGATGTTGAATATTATTATATGATTATAGTGATAGTGTGTGTGGCAAAGGGACAATTAAAAAGCTTTAAAATGTTGCTGAAACAATCCACCTTTCCTCATTTGAAAGATGAGCACAAATTGAGAAGTCATTCACTGTTTGCTGATAAACGTAAATTCACTTGAATTTGCAATGGTTTTGATAAAAAAAGAGGCATTTTCATCAAATTTGTAGAATTTAATTTTTAGGTTTGGAAAGTGTAATATGAGTGTCTGTAGGTTTGAACCAAGTATACTTTTGTTAGTATGACTAACTTCAGGCAGTGGGTAACCAGATATATGTGGGCAAACTATGGCAGGCGGTATCGTGGGTATTGTGGAGTTCGGCAGGACAAGGTGACTGTATTAGTAACATTTCCAGCAGATACACCGGGGATACTAGCTGAGCAGACAACGGTATCCTCAAGCTTGGAGGCTTGCCAGATATACACCAAAATAAGAGGTCAAAATGCTTTCAAACAAAAGGTTGCCAACTTTTTGGAAGCTTCCAGCTGTTGAACTCACAATTAATTATAATTTAAAAACAGAGAAATTCACTGGAAGAAACTATGTGAGCATTAATACCCCAAAATAGAAAACAGAATTATAATTTTTTGTGAAGGCTTTTGTTTTGTTCTGGTGATATGAATCCTTCCAACCCTTGCTTTTAGTGACAAACGTTTGAGTTTCAATGGAGTAACCTTAGGAAGATTTAGATCAGGATTAACAGAGAAGTGAGACATTGAAATTTACATGAGAAATAACCATTCAGGTTTGTATCTTAATATTTTTTGAAAATAATTGTTCTGAGTACTGTAGTGTAGAGAATTTTGATGTTCATGTAGATATTGGTTGTGAAAAAGTCTAGTTAATAAATAATGTTCAATCCTATTAAATTTTAGGTCTGTCATGTGTACTGTTGAATTCATCCCTATTTCTTGAATCCATGAAACTGTGATTTTATTTATGGGATGCAAGAGAAAGTGGTAAGAAAAGAGAGAGGAAGAGAGAGAGAGAGAGAGAGAGAGGGAGAGGGGGAGGGGGAGCAGGAGGAATTTGGATGCCTCTAAAAAATTAAATTACAAATGTATTTTCAACACTATTCTCTCTAATGATATGAAAGAAGTACGGTAACACAAACCAAACTGTTGCAGAGTAGACATTCTAATCTGTATTGAGTAGATCAGCAGTATGCATATGTGCATAAGCTCACCAGGGGAAACACAACCTTGTTTCAGTCAATGCAGACACCGGGCTGAAAAGGTCATTTCTTTAAAATTATTTGCATTTAAGATGCCTGGTTTGCAGAGAAGCGATATGTATGAAAAACACAGGCCAGATCAATCATTTCAATGGTGTCTTGGTGAAAAGAAGAAAAAAAGGTGACGTCATCTACTTGACATTCTATCTCTTGCTCTGTCGCTCTTCCTTGTTCTCTCTTTCCCTTTCTCTGTCTCTCTCTTTCATGTCTGTTTCTAACACTTATGTTTCAAGGTTGGTAGAATTATTCAGGGGCACGACAGTATAGACATGTCACAAGGGAGATGGGAATATTGGAGACAAGAGAAGAAAAGAAAAGTGAGGTGAGGGGGGGGGGGGGTAGTAGAAAAGGTGTAGATAAGGGGGGGTGGATATGATAGAGAGGAGATGGTCATGGTAAGATCACACATGAAGGAAATTTGTGGAAGAGAAAAAGAGGAGGATGAGATGAAAGAGATCAATAGAGATACATGCATATGTAGAAAAAAGGAAGCAAGAGTGAAAAATAGGGAAGGAGGGGTGGGGGGGGGGGGTGTAGGGATGATTACGATTAAAGATGTTAGATGGAAGTAAGAGAAGATGTGGGAGTGAAAGAGAGAATTAATTAAAAGAGAGATATAGTGAAGAAGAGGTAGACAGATGGATAGAAAGAGAGAAAATGGAAGTGATAGAGATGGAGGAAAAGATAAGATGGATGACAGACACTTGGGGGTACAGATTGGTGGGGGCGGAAGGTAGCAGGTGGGTTTAGGCAGAAAGGAATGTTCCATGATGATATGACCTTACCTCCCCCTCTAGAACACTAGAATTTCAGTGAAAGATATATGAACTGTAGTAGGGAGTGGTAGAGAAGGGATAATCTTCAAATGGGTTCAGAAAAAAGGTCCAATGAATAGATGAGCATTACATGATTTTCGTTTTGTTGAGAGAAAAAAATACAGTTGGCATTATTTATCATGAATGACTAAAAAAGTTATATAAGTGGAAACATATAGCAGACTGGAGTTTGCACATTAATAATTTGGTGTTTGGGTCAAAGAAAAAGAAAGGGGCACAATACAGATCGATAAGGGGTGATGGAGGGATGGAGAGGTAGAGACATAAACAGGCATAGAAACAAGTACTAGAGACCTTCAGTGAGTGGGTGCGAGAGAGAGAGAGAAAGAGAGAGAGAGAGTGAGAAAGAGAGAGAGAGAGAGAGAGAGAGAGAAGGAGGGGGAAGAAACAATATTTTGAATGGGAATTTGAACTGATGTACAGACAGGTACACTGGTCATTAATTGCCTTCCATCAGTCTTGCTAATCAAACAAATGATTGACCTGTGCTCCATTTCACACTGACTCGCCCATCAATCTCTCTTTATCTCTCTCTCTCTCTCTCTCCCCCTTTCTCTCACCCTCTCCCTCTCTCTCTCTCTCTCTCACACACACCCTGGTTTTTCTGACTTTTTAAATTCTTTCTCCCTTTCCCCATTTTCCTCCCATTTTTCTCTCCCCCCACATTTCCCTCTTCTTCCCCTCCCTATCCCCTCTCTCCCCATCATGTTCCTTTCTTCTCATTTTATTATTCTATTTTGTTCTTTTGAACTCTCTATCAAAATCTTAATGTAGAAAAAGAAGATGACAAGTGACAAGTGTATACAGTTACTGGCATCATGAGTGTGTTCCCTTTACCAAAAGTGCAGTGACATATATATATATATATATATATATATATATGTAACTGCAATTAAGTTGATTTAGAAGGTCTTTGTACTTCCTACATGAATGTTTTAGTATAGAGTATCTGCTTATATCTGGATGGGTTATCTTTTTGCAGTTTATATTCTGTAAGTGTGGTTACTTTGACTTGTTACTATAACACAGATTCTGTAAGTATTATGTTTTAATGACATAGTTTAGAAGTTATATTTGCATCTAGTCTTACATTAGAGATGAGGCATACATGTACGGAACACGACTGGTAGTAATTTAATATACCATTTCAATCTTTAAATCTTCTAGTATAACAAAGGATTAACTTCCGGTCTACCAAATTGAATTATTTTGTCAATTGATGTAAATCTATTGTATTGACTTTTGTATTTAATGCACTTGTTTCTGTAAGAAAAGCAGCAAACAGAAACAATAGTGGTAATAGTTATCATCATCGTCATCATCATCATCATCATCATCATCATCATATTAATCAATCTCATGCAATAGACACAGTAGTGGTAAAAGTTATTATTATCATCATCATCATCACCAACATCATGATCATCTTCTTCATGATCATCATCCTCCTCATCATCATTATCCTCCTCATCCTCCTCATCATTATCCTCCTCATCATCATTCTCCTGATTTCTGAGCCTTTGTGGAGTGAATATGGTTTATGTTATGAGTGAATAGTATGAGCCACATTGAGAATGTTTTCATGTGGAGAATGGCAGACTCCTTCAAGCATGAATCATGAGGATGACTCAGTTCATGTTTAGCCCCTGGTCTTGTCTCCCATTTCCCCCTATTTTTAGTTTTTTTTTTCTCCTTCGTTTGGGCTGCATTCAACTCTGACATTCAGGTGTCTCCATTGTAACACACAAAGAGAGGAACCCCCTTTTATTATCAAGTAATTTGATATCATGAATGGATGCCTGCAACTGCCTTGGTGTTTTGTATTATATAGGACTTGACCCAAATGACTCATGTTAAACATGGGTGCTGACTCCACCGATGGACAGACATATCTGGCATCTCCTTGTTTAAGACACTTTGACTGACAACTTGCTTGTGTCTATGAAGGGCGCCCCCATTCTCTAAGCAATTGATAGATTTCTAAACAAGTCTACAATCACTTTATAGCAATAATAATTGTAAATAGTTTTAATGTAATAAAGGTTATCAATCTCTACCATTTGGTGATAGATTTAAACTTGGTCCTGAAGATTTTAAATTTCCTTCTTTAATCAAATTGTTAATCAGAAGTTATTCATACAGTAATAATGACTGCTATAGTTGTTTTTATACACTCAAGGGGAGGTTACATCGTGCTATCGGCCTGAGGTGTGCCGAGGGGTGATAGAACGATGTAAACTCCCTGAGAGCCTATAAAAACAACTGTGCCTCGAATATTAAAGCAGTCATTATAAATTTTATATACCAAAAAGGGTCATAGAATACATCGTCGCCTGGCTAGCAAAAGGGCGTTAGCTCGAATTTCAGGTCAGGTCAATAATGAAACTTTAAGCAGAAGGGCGTTAGCACTAAATCACCTCAAACTTTTACAAAACTGACTTATTTCCGAGAAAAAAATTATTGGGCCATGTTCTACTACAACATATCATTTAGTCTTTTATGTTTTAAACCAATTTTCGGGATGGAAAGCAGTTTAAATATAAAACAAATCTTGAAATGCGAATAATTCGAAAAGTAGTTTTCGGGTCGCTCGCGCGCTAACGCCCTTCTGCCACCCGGCCTACGACATGTGGGACTTACCAATCATGGTAATCAAGTTTGTTTACGCTATCGAGACCTAGTCTTAATAGAGTGTCTGATCGCGCACTACTCGAGTTTGCGTGCTAAGATCCTTGCCATTGAGATTGCACGCATATATGCCTATGCAGTCTAGATCTACGTGCATTAACAAAATGATTTTGAAATCGAGATGCAAACCTTTAATTATTATTATTATTATTATTATTAGGCATTTAGCTACGCTATTCATAGTACACTATATTACAGCGCTTACAATATTATGCAATATAACAATATAACCACAAATCTTAACATAACATTGAACAAACAAAAATAATAGCGAATCAAGTAGGAAATAAGTAGGTTTTAAGGAGTTTCTTAAAAACATTCACTGATGGAGCAGCTTTTATACTGGAGGGAAGTTTATTCCACTCCTTAGCTGCTGCAACAGTGAATGTGCGATCTCCTGCCTTACTACGAGCCACATGAAATGTCAATCGAAATGGGTCTGCATTGGAGCGAAGGTTTCTACGTACAGGTCGATACAACTCAAGACAGTCACTAAAATACTCTGGCACCTGATCATGAAAAAATTTGTATACAAATAAAAGAATCTTAAAAACAATCCTCTGTTTGATTGGCAACCAATGGAGGGATGTTAGTAGAGGCATGGCATCATGACGATGGTCTAACCGAAAAATAATACGAACAGCCCAGTGCTGTAAACTTTGAAGTCTTCTTATATATGTTTGAGGGACTTCTGTAAGCAGCCCATTACAATAATCCAGCCGGGAAAGAACATGGCTGCGGATCACATGACATGCATCTTCAGATACGCATTTCCTAATTTGTGATACATTCTTTAACTGAAATCGTACAGATTTACAAAGCTGGTCTATTTGGTTAGACATGGACATGTTGCAATCAAAAATTAAACCAAGGTTCTTGACCGATGTAGATGGTGCAATCTGGGTGGTTCCGAATGTAAGATTAACATCATTAATGTTTCCCAAGTTGTGTTTGGAGCCGATTACCAAAAACTCTGTCTTTTCCTCATTTAGTTTAAGCTTATTCCTTCCCATCCACATACTTATATTTGTGAGACAATCTGAAAGAGTTTCTAATGCAGTATTTAAGCCATTATGTTGCTTAGGGTCAAATGTAACATACAGCTGTGTAT